GCTTTAAATTATATTCGTTTCCATAAAGAAGTATTGTAATTTTCAATTTGAAAAATCCAAATATCCCAAGAAAATAAATTTGGACAACAAATGTTAATATTTAGATACTACACTATATCCAAAATCTTCAACGTTCATTTTCGAAGATTGATCAGCAGGCTCGCCGTCGATACGCGAAACGTCTCGCTGCAGCATCTGGCCCGTTTCCTAAATGTACGGTATCGACAGTGCCGAAGACGTATTCGTTCGTCCGTTGAACTTTTTTGTCGCCCGCGTTCTTCTTCGCCTTTTTCCCCGGTGCAATTTCGACTTCCCCTCGAGCAACGACACGTGCACCTTCTCGCGGCCGTATCCGGCCGAAGTCGATCGGACGTTCGTGTCCCTTAAAAAGAGCTAATTTTAGGTTGGCCGGCGACGAGGGTTGCACGGATTCGGTGAACGGGAGGAGAACGCATCGTGCACAAACGGTTCCGTTGCTCTTTACACGACTCCGAACAATGGCGATTTTAACCCCTTTTCTGATCGTTTCCTGACCGCCGTTCGCTGACCGCTATTGAAACTGTTGCAAACCACGGTGTCTGGGGGTTGCATACTCACAGCGCGGCAGGAAATCAATTAATACGTACCTACATTTCTCGCGTGAAGAATGACGCAGACATTTAAATGAACTTTCTTAGGTACGAACAATGATACTTCTAACTAAAGGATATCCTTCCACATTTTATACATACAAGACACTGTTAATACTTCGCTGTACAAGCAAATTGAAATTAAATTAAAATTCCAAACCAAACGACCTAACTCTCGAAATTACTACAATTTCACAACTCGTACGATTTGAATACTGAAACTTCGCTTAAGTACTCTACAAAACTAACATTCTAAGACGAAATCGTTTCTGAAGTATCAATGTTCTTCATCGCGTTTATGTAACCCCTCAAACACCATTATCACAGACACGACCAAAAATGGCTCAGATAAAAAAAAGATAACAAATGGTCCTCGCGTGGTCGAAAGGGTCATCGCGACCAGTTTTTCGCGACAGGGGTCGAACGGACGGGCCACCCGATATGAATGTCCTTTAATTACAGAGGCCGGTTAGTCCCCCCGTCTATGACCGACTGTTTACAGGGCATTAGCTAATACAGGGTGGCGCGGGGTGAAGCGAACAGGCGCGTGCTACCGTTGAAAAGTGAAATGCCACTCGGCGAGTTCGTTAGCCCATTGTGGGCATCATTTGGAGCCACTCGATCGGACATTAGTCCCCGCCGGCCCCTCATTTACCATTCTTCGATCCGCCGTGGAGATCGTAATTTATCGCCGCTCCGGTTACGTTGCTTTTTCTCTTCGCCCGGCTCGGCGCGCCGCTGTTCATTGAATTTTCGCCGGACGAACCGACGGAATTTTTTAAGCGGTTCCAGCTGACTCGGCTTCGTCGCGACTGGATTTTTCTGCCGCATACATTACCTGCCGTGCGTCTTTCAAAATTAACTTTCTTCTCCTCGATAACGGTCCCACGAGTCGCCTCACGTGCAACGACTCTCTTCCTCGGTCGTGATCGTTAAATTTGAACCTGGTAATGGACGTCTCAACCGACGAGCTGCGTCCGACGAGTATACTCGTCACCTCAAAAAATGAACTAATATTAATCTTGCCAACAATCACTTGGTTCTTCAAATAGACCTATTCTACATTTTGCTTTAGTTTCTTTATTTTAACCTACAGCTGCATTTTCCCTGCGTTATACGCATATACTCGTCGGTTGATTTTAAAACAAAATTCCAGAGTCAACTGGTCAAGCTTGTACAGCCACAATGTTCCAAGAGTGAACATTCTCATGGAAAGATCCAAGATATTCGAAATAATCTGTACGAACCACTTTACGACGCATCAGAATTTAAATTCGTATCCTTGGAATTATAAAAAGCATCAGTACGAAATGTCGCCGAGACCGTTCGAGATCGTGGTTCCCCGGTATCTTTCTTGCGAATCTCGATTTTTTGGCAATTTGTACCACCTGTGATGACGCGATGAATCACGGGGCCAGCATCTGGAAATACTTCGTCGAACGGTCGTCGCGATCGCTCTCTTACGGGGGACGCTAACTGTATTCACCGGAGCAGATCAAGGAGACGGCGAAGAACCGCAACGCGGAATACCTTCGGTCCGTTCGCAAAAAGACAGTCGGTCACGCGGCGTATAAAAATACCAGGGAAAAACGACGGTGGAACGGTCCCGCCTCGAATGATCGCTAATGAAACCGTTGCCGGCCCGGGAAAAAAGTGATCGATCGATCGGCCTCCTGGCCTCGCTGAAAAACAAGGAAGTTTGATCGATCGATCGCTCGCCCGCTCGCGGACCGGCGGATCCGTCAGGATCGATCGGTCGGAAGTTCGCCGGGGTCAGGTGGAGCTCGAACGTACGAGTACCCACCTCTGGTTTCACGGCTAATTCGATCAATTAAGACCGCGCCGGGGCTTGTCGTTACACGTGTTCCACTGATAAACGCTCATTAAGCGTTCGTTTGGTCGCGCACCTGGTTTTCGCCTCGATCGTCGATCGAACCACCGATCTGGACGTTTGATCTAGGGATGGGATCGAGTATAATTTATGTCGGATAATTCTAGACAGTTTTAATATGCAAGTTCTGTCTTGCAGCTTTCGAATCGTTACAGATGTGGACATACAGGTTTTTTACGGAACTCGTAAAAGGAGTGTAACCATTGTTTCGTCACACTAGATGACTTCTATATCGCATTATATAAATCCTTCGACTATACAATCTTAACATGCTTTCAAAACATTTTTCATTTACAGGAGATTGAAACTGTTAATATCTATAGTCTAAAATATAGGAGAATAATATTTACTAATCCTTAACACGGTGAATGCCATGGTGGTCACCGGTGACCAACCAAATTACTATAGCTCATTCATTCAAACGTTGAAAATATTTGTATAAATAATACTGCATAATGCGGTGATAATCAGCTAGGTGAACACGTAGTAGTAATAATGCAATTCAATTAAATGATTTAATATTATGTTTCTCCCATTTTCTGCATTTTTATCTATGAAATCGTGCGGCGTTCAATGTGTTAACGCTAGCTATCAACGCTATATCTCATCGGATAACGTTAAACATTTCCACTGATAAACTTTCGAGTACTAAAATAAGTAGTTGAATAATTATTTTAAAACAAAGTTGGACGAGCTATCAAAACCGAGTTCCTCCTTCTCGAAGTGCTGGAATCTACCAGGCGTCCAATACGCTTGATCCCATCCCCAATTCGATCTAGGAGCAGGCGACAGGCAACGCTTCACCGTCGTTCCTTTTGTTTCACGTGCACGGTTCTTCTCCCGAGTAATTGGATATCGTAACGACGAAGGTCCTTAACGATCCTGGATACAATAACGCGATGAGGTCACGTCCTGTTTTAGGTTTCCAATTATACCGCGACGCGACGCGACGCGCTCATCCGCGGTATCGATCGCGAAACGGCGCTGGTTGGACGCGAAAATACATTTAACGGGTCGTTGGCACGTTCAATTGGCAGGTATTATGGAAAATATGCGAGAACCGGTGTGACGGTCCCCGCGGCGTCGGTTTTATTGAATTTTCTGCTGCGACGCTCACGGGGAATCGTTCCCGCTGGACGCGTGGGGTCCCCGTATTCGATTCAACAGGATCGTACAAGCCACGAAGGCCGGTCGTATTAGTTACCATTATCGAAATGACCAGCTAGGATGACAGCCATTAAAGCCATGAACCAGCTGCTTCCCTTCGTTCGGCTCCCCCATGGCAGAAGACCCTGCGGCGCATCACGCATTACAATTAACCGTATATGTATCGTGGTTCAGCCACCCCCATGCTCGCAGCGCGCCGCAGATAAGTAAATGCCCGGACACGCGTCTGTACAGGGTGTACCTGAAAAAAATCTATCCGCTCAATCAGATCCTGCGACCGTTTCTTTTTTATCTTGTTTGCTTTATCTCGTCGGATTTAGTCAAATAAGCTATCTATGTTTTTTAGATTGCTGTATGTACATGTACGGTTTATCTCGCTTAATTTCACTTGAACGTTTCTTTATTGTTCTTAATGGAAGTTTTTTGACAATTGGCTGTATGTGTGTGGTGTGAAAAGATGTTAACTGTTGTTGCTTTTTGGTTGCTTTATGGAGAATAATATGATAGAATAACGGTCGTCGGTAGGCATGGTTGTTTCGATTCACCCTATAACATACCCCACACGTGTTCTACGAACCACCATGGCTCCGTCCAGGTGGATGTTACAAAATGTTCGTTACAAAATAGTCCATATTCCTCAGCTGGCTAATTTTCGTGGAGGCCTCACGAATGACCGACAGATTTTGGGGCCGTGAAATTAACTGAGTCAACTGCCTAATAGCTTAGTCATTATTTTTTGTATGAGCGCACGGATATGAATTTATTATTGAAATTGTAATATTCTGATGGTTCAACTTGCAGTGGAATTGGACCTAATTTTGATTAGGCGATTACTTATTTTAGATCAAGTATCTCATTTGTTATTGCTCGATTTATCCGCAACAATATCTAATATTTTATATTTTCGACAGTATAAAATTAGATGTACCAATCAAATGACTAATTTTTCGAAAATTTTACTTATTAACGATCGTTTAGCAATATTTTTAAAACCAACGGTTAACTGAATAAATTTTTCAATAGCAATAGGAATTAAAATCACGAATCGATATCAACTAATCTAAAAAATTTCTTTCAGAACTAATACTCAAAAAACAACGTTAAATTCCGTTTCAACGAAACATGGACATTAAAAATCCTATTAATATATTCCTGGTACACCATTAACTAAACTCGCTTACAGTACTAGTAATTTAAACACAAGGAAGGGGATAAGATTAAAAACACAACGGTTGCGTATGAAAGCACGTTCGTTTATTTCGCTTAAACAACTAGATGACTAGAGTTTTTCTGTAATCCTAAAACTTGCCAGATTTACATAGGACTTTCTCCGGAGCGTCTCGCGTGGCGAGACGCTGGGAGCCGCGCGGGACTTTCGTCGTCGTACTCGATTATTCTTTGGAGGCGCTGCATTTGTTGCTTCGTCGTGGAACCAACCGATTCAGGCTTTCGACGGGTCACCGGTGTTTTAAGGGACCTTTGTCCGGCCGCCGGACATTAACGCGCCCGGCGGACCGGCAGCCTTGAAGCGTAGACCGCGACGAAAGGATTTTCTGTCTCGTCGAAGTCGACGCGTTCGTTCTCCCGTTGCTCGTTCCCGAATCGCGCGAGGAATCGAAACGAATTCAGGACGAACGGCTCCGGCGGGCCCGTCCAAACCTCCATAAATCACGTGACGCAAGTATTTACAGGAATAATACAATTAAAGGACATTAAACGCTAGAACGAAGACGCCGTCGTCGCGACGGCGATCGGTTATCACGGAAGAACATCGACGAAATAAATATACAAAAGTCGACGAGGGCTCGACGGCGGATCCGTCGTGAAATTGCGCGTAGTCATCCGTCGGTCCCTCTCAGTTCTGCGTCGTCTTTTTCGATGACTTGACGGCCATCGTCGTCATCGTCTTGGTCGCTTTCGACGACTCGTTCTGCTGCTTCGCCGCGTCCATCGACGAGGCGAGCGGCTTCTTATTCACCTCGCACACTTTCCGGGCTCGCCAGTAATCTGCAACGAGAAACGGTACAATGTTTACATTAGTATGCACATTCGACGGTTAATTAGAATTTAAACTACGACGCCGGTACCCGACACGGACGGGCCGCGAATCCGAATGGCCGGCCAACTTTCGTTCCGACTTTCGCGCCGGCGAGCGACGAGATTCGAGGAAGGGAAACGCGAAACGGTGAGAGATTCTAAGGGAAACCGTTGCGAGATCATTGTTCCCGGTGTAATGGCGGGAGGCACGCTTGCGTGTAGAGAGCCGCGCTGATCGCCCCGCAGTTTTAACCTGCGCACCGGTGAGACACACGGAATTTCCACAACAATGGCGACCGGCGAACAAAACCGTGTCTCGCGGACACCCCATTTCCGATCAGGTAGTCACCTGAGCGCCCTCGCTGCTTCGCTTTTTACTCGATCCCCCTACGGCCGGCAGGTGCGATCCCGCGTTAATGGTATCACGCTGGCAACTTCTTGTTTACATTGTTCGGGATTCCTGCGACGAGATTGAAAGTTGCGATCCGCGAGAGATGCGGGGAACTAGAGCGCCAGAAACAAGGGGTTTTCAACTTAGAGCGTTATCAACGGAGAACCCGTTAACTCTATCGTTGTTGATGTTACCGTGAGTGGACCAGAGAGTTGATCCTCTATTTTAAATTTGCAGGAGTAAAGAAAAACTTTCTGTTTATCCGTTAGGAAAGATTAGATCATACAATTAGAATACTCTTGATTCTCGTGCGCTTGTTCTCTAGTATCTTACGGATCTGCTCGTGTCAAGAGTTGTCACCAATACCTATTTTATCTTGGCAACTATGTAAATCCTGCGTTAAAGAGTGTTTCATTGTTCTCGGGAAAATCAGCCGTTGAAGGGTTAAATCCGAGACGCGTAAGAGCGGTCAAGCAGCGGCCATATGTCGAGGACACGCCGATCCCTTCCCCCCGCCCCTCCTTTTCGCGCTGGTTCGCCATATGGCGCGCGAAACCGAGCTTCCTTAACGAACGTCCTCTGGTTTCTCCGTTGGCCCGGATCCTGCTAAGGATTTCGTCTGTCAACATCTGTTATCCCGGCGTGGAAACCGCGTCACAAAATATCCTAGAGCAACAAAATATTCTCGCCCAGCGGAGCGTCTACCTGTCCGTACGCCCGGATCGAGGCACAAAGATCGAGATCATCTTTGTCCGGGTGAGGAGCGCGCGCACCCCAACCCTCCTTCCCTCGTTTTTCAATCAAACCGGAGATTTCCAGCTAAGGAGCTCTGAAAGGAGGTCAGTTTCTTTTCGATTCTTTAGAGAACACACGCGAAGAACCCGGGCCACTGCGACTCCCTCTGTTCTATTTCGAACGGGCCGAGTTTCCCAAGGAGGATCCAGGATTTCTCGAGATTCCTGAAGCGGACTGAAACGACCGGATTTTCTATTTCTGTTTTCCTTTCTCCTTTGCCCACCCGCCTGACTGGGCGCTATAGAATACGGGGCTGTGATAATTTAATATTTTCCTTGAAATTAGACGGTTGAGAGCTAGAGGGCTAACCGTTAGAGCGAAGTCTGCTACTGAATTTAGTCGATTCGGTTATCAGGTCTTTCTATTTAATCATTGATCTCTGTCTCATAATTCTCGGATAATCCTGGGAAAGTGGTATTCGTGATTGGAGGAATTATAAAATACTGTTAGTAACCTTCAGCAACATATCTATTGAACAAAATGATAATTAGCTCTGAGATGCTAAACTGTTGAGAACAACAATTTCCAAATTTAATAAAAATTCTTCGAGTCTCAAAAACAGAAGGCCATAAACCACTGTTAGTCCCGACGAATAGAAATTACCCTCGGAAAACTGTGTCGCATGGAAAGACCTGCTGCAACGAAACCCTCCGCGACGAGCGCTCAACATGCGGGTCAGAGGAATAGCAAACAGGTACCACATCGTTCGAACGAGTCTTGCAGCCTGCGGTGGACGTGTAGCCGATCACGAGAACCATCGAAGCGCCGCGTCGGTTACAATAGGGCTAGAAGGAGCTGCGGGGCTAGGTGTAAATGCAAATGCGGCTCGTAAGGAGGCAGCTATCGCGACAGGTGTTGCGCGACCTTGGCAAGGTCCCGTTCATGGTATCGCGTGCTCGTGGGTTTGATTTAATCGTGGGAAAAAGACATGACGAAGTCGCGGCGGCGCTGTGGCGGGGGTGAACAGGTGTCGGTGGAAAAGGGCAAGTTGCGATGTCTCGGTCCGTTGGCTCTTCACGGGGGCCCAACTCGCGCTTCCACTGCCAAGGAATCATCATCAGATGGTATCGTCGCGGCGCTATGAAAATTATTCCAGTAAACGGTCCGCTTTTTGCGCCGGTTGAGCGGAAAACGCTACCCCTGAGCAGACTGCTAATGGCTACAGCTACGGACGAACGCTATATAGCTGTTCGAGCACTAGGGTACATTCCGCATGTGAAGTGCCTTTTTTTTCTTCGCCCAAGTTGGAGTTTCACGGTGGGATAACGCGAAGAGATATTGCTCGAGGCAAGAAGAAACTCGGCGGCGGTGTTTAAGGCAACTGCTTCGGTCGCGGAAAAATCTGCAGCGTGGGAATCCCTGCTCCAATTACGCGGACTCGGCGAATCCCGCGTTTCGAAGGGAACAATGACGGCCTGCACTTCGTCGCTCCGCGACGAGTAACAGTTGCACAGACGAAAATCGCGGACGGTCGCACGCGGGATACGCACTTGGTCGACAGTTTGTGATATCCATTGTGCGGCATGCGACCGTCGTCGCGGCCCGTCGCTAGGGTGTGCTCTACGGTGCGCGAATTGGGGATGAGATTGAGTTCGACCCTTTGTATTTTGACTTAACAGTTTGCCTCGTAGGATCCTTGTAACTTTGTGAATATTCACCCTGTTCGTTTCGTTTAGCAACTGCTGATGGCATTCGAGGTAATGAATCTTTTGATTTCAGTTCAAGTTTGCTCGTGAAAGTGTAATACATTCGCGCGACTCGCTTGTAAGTTGAATTGAGGTAGTAGAGGTATTATTTGAATTCTGAGGAACTGGGTAATATGTGCTAATTCTTTCAAATGTTTGAATTCTGCTACGAGCTTGAATCGATATCACCAGACAGGGGGTTGAAAATACTCGTTTCAAGTTTTACTTCGTCCTCGGTCTTTCGAAATATCCGAAGTTACCCGGTGAAATTCGAAGCTACACTCCACTCGAGCTCTGTGCAAACAAGTTGACGAAGGCGGAAGGAATTCAAGGAATGCGATCGCAAGACCGTCTTGCTTCTTGAAAACTGGGGCCCTTCGATGAGTCAGGAGTCTACCCTTCAGGTATTTCGTCCGCCATCGAGCACGCGTGAGTCATCCGTTGTGATTCATTCGACAACCCGGGGCAGAGGATGCTTTTCAGGCCTTTTCTATCCGTCGCATGCTCGCCGCGGTATTTACAGGTCCCAACGGTTTCAAGTGCCGCGACCAATGGCCAACTAAGCAGCTTAAATCTTCGTTCGCGCGTTGCGCTCGCGATTTCATACGGAATAAAGGCGATTCTATATACTACACGCTAACGCGGAGCTCAAAATCCGCAAAACTGCACAGGACAGTCTTCGGTATAATCTTCATCTGTCCCGAAAGCACAAGATCTTACGGAATTTCCAACTCTTCCACAGCGATATCGAACAGTGATCGCAAAATAAAGTATAGATCATCATCGTCGCTCAAAACAATAACACCAAAGCAGAAGCCAATACCGCGATACGACCAACATACACGATATATAAAACCCTCACACATCCATGGCGAACAACCCCTACCAAACCCCAAAGCAAAGGGTGAACTCGGGGTAGCAACAGTAGTCGGCGCCGACGGGAACTTTCTCGAAGATGCTACTCGCTAACTCGGCTTCCTGGCACGGGGAAAATCACCAAAATCGGCGGGCAGGCGTCGATCAGTAAGAGGATCACGTGGCAATCAATCGGCGGGAGCGGGAAGAGGATTGGCGAGGGGCAAGGAGGAATGGCGGATCCGTGGGGGCCAACTACCGCGTTGGGATTATAATTTTGGAAAGCGATAGTGGTCGGAGAGTCGGGCCGTGGTCCGTCCGAAAGTTTCTGGACGGCGTAACACCGGGAGCCCCGGGAACGGGGAGCGACGAAGGGCGAAACGGGAAGGGGAAGGCGGAAGAGGCGCGGAGGAGCGAGGCTAGACTATGAAAACAGGTCGGAGCCACGCGACCGGCCTGCGCTGCGCCTGCGCCTGCTACCTTCCCTTTCCTCGAGGCAAGCGCCGTCGCTTTCCCGCCAAAAAGCCACGGTGCTCTCTTCCCCCGACGCTACGCCGCTTATCAAATTTATTTATACCCGGTAACACCGCGGCGGGATTTCCCGCCCGAAATTCCACGTCGTAGACCGTTCGCTCCGTATCTCTCTATTGCCGGGCATGAAAGAAAAATAAACCGCAATGAAACTTATTATACCCGAAACTTCAGCGTTCATCTCGTCGAGTACTTCGGTTACGTAACACTGAAGTTCCACCGAAAACTCCCATCGAAGTGCGACGGAATCGAGGCGTCTCAAATTAGCGGGGATACCGAACGGGGACCAAATCAAATCGGGTACCGGCGGGTACAATGGGTGCTCATGGAACTATGCTCCATTTTCGTAGTTTCCCACGGTAAATCGCGTCGGTGCTTAAAGCCAGCGGCACTCACCGTGTATGTTGGTCTGCCTGGAGTACGGGTTGCACCGCTTCTTGGGCGACGGGTCGTGTTGCTTCTCCGGGTGCTTCCTCTGGTAATTGTTCTCCTTATCCTCGGAACACGGATCGACGCCCCATCGCTTGGCGAACCTGCTGCGTTCGGCGTCCAGGGCCTCCTGCAGCATCTCCACGGTCTCCCGCGAGTTCGGCTTGCCGAAGAGGCAACGTGGTACGCGCGTGGCCATGGTTGTGCCGGACAACACCGTGAAGTGAACCTCGCGACAGATCGACGCTGCCAGCATCTCGATCAATTATTTCGCCTCTTCGTCGACGGGTCGCGACGCGCGCGTGCAACGTGGAACAATGGACAACCGCGTCTGCGACCAGTGGTCTTCTGTGTCTGCTCGGATTCCCTTGCCTCTCCGGATCCTCTTGGTCGGGAACTCGAGCCAGGCTGCACCGATTTCTTCGCGCAGGTTGCTCCGGTGGTCCTCCGAGTGTAGGGTGGTCGAGGTTTCGATCGGTTCCGAGGGACTTTTCTGTCAAGATTAGCCGCGAGTCGGTCACGTAGACACCGAGCACCGAACCAGACGAAACCGGACTGTTTTAGAGCACGCCGGTCCTCACCGCTCGACGGTCAGACTCCTTCTGGCTGGATGATCGGGGCTTCGAGGCTTCGTTTCCGTGGCCACGGTCCCGTCGAAGCCACGAGGTCCGTGGCGGCCCTTCCATCGGCTTCACGAATTCAAATCTGATTGGTGCGCTGCCATGTATGCGCAGTAAAAATGGCGCGCACTGCTCGATGACTCCGTCTCCCTTTCACGGGGATTCCCTGGCCTTCTCTCGCTCACCGGCCGTGATCTCTGTCCTCGTCCGTTTTGATAGAGGCCGCCGATCCTCTCTCTCCGTCCCGCCGCCACGAACCGTCCAACGGATTATGCTAAGCGATTTTGGCCAGGGAAGGGAAGAAGAGGCTCGCGCCATAAAGCAGTACCTTTTATTTTTTTCTAAGTAGCACCGCGTATAGAGCGATCACGATCGCGTTCCTCTTCCACCGGGACGTGCTCCCTCTGGACGGGTTCCCGGTCGTACTCCGATGCGGATGTGTCTTATTTTTCTCCGTTTTTCAGCTGCGGCCACTTGACGCATCGGAAATAAATCGTTTCCTGGTTAGTTTTCAGTCTGTCCGCGGCGTTTATTGCTTCGCTCGAGATTTTATGGGGGGTGGAATATTTGAATGGCGGAGACTTTCTGTTTAGGGAAGGATAGAATTAGTGTCAGAGGTTTCTTGTACGGTGAAATAGAAATTCGTGGTGTTGGTGAGTTTATATTGTCGATTTTCGTTTCGTTCTGAGCTCTGGAACTACAAGGGAAGTTTTTAAGGGTTGTTATTAGTTTATTTGGCCAAGGCACTAAGGTCATTCAGGCCTCTTCCCTTAAGTATTTTCCTTCATATTTCTTTGCTAATTGAACTTTCTAAACTCATTAGCGGTATGATCCTTCAAGCTGTCACGGATTGCTTAGCGAAGCTCCAAACATCCAGATGCTCGTTAGTAGAGTAATATCTTATAAAATTAATTGCTTGCCCTTAGCACCCTTCCCACATCCATTTCCCGTGCATAATTTCCTCTTTCGAATAACTGATCTGCCACACGTCGTTCATTTAACAACTCCTTAACAATTCAACAATCTTTCAACCGATTTCCCATGTTTCAAAATTATTATTTTCATTAAATCTATTATTTTCCAGTTGATTTTTCGATTAATATCATTCCATTAGCCTTCAAGAGCTTCACTTTCCCTCGGAGGAATTGCGTCCCGTCCGATATGCAATAACGGTGCCATTATTACGCGCGATCCCTCGGGCAGGGTGCGCTTATGCAAAAAACGAAGAAAGTGTACGCGGAATAAAGGAAGGACGTAGGACGCGTCAGGTTACAGATGCTTAAGCTGTCCCAATCATTCGGAATTGCCGACTTCGCCGCGCGGAGGGGTTGATTCGATTGTCGTGGATACGTGGCTCGTATGCGTTTTCGCGGGAAGCCCGGCGTTCTGCGACCGAGGCGGAAAAAAAAGGAACGATCGTCCGGGAGCAGGTGGACCAGACAGAAAAAGGGGGAGGAGGGTCGACGTAGAAACGAGTTTCGCGCTGAAAATTGACCATCGCGTCATTGCGATTCTTCCCTTTTACTTTTTTCTTTCCCCTCCCTCTCCCTCTCGCTCCCTCCTCCGACGGTAGCTACCGGTATTTTTGCAACAATGATCGTCCGATTGCTTTGTTCCGGCGGAACACGACGGAGGTTTTACGAACGAACTGCGCAATTTTCGTTTTTAGCGCGCGCGCGTTTCGGCGTCGCGCGCGGGCCGACAATGGCGGACGACTTACGGGCTCCGATACCCAAGACGATAGGGGTTCGCGTTTTCTATGGCGCATTGTGAACGTCACCCAGGGAAATCGACCAAGGTCAGGGTTTAATTTTAGTACAAGGTCCCCGGTTTCGCGTGCCGATCGTTCGCGAATCATTTCAGTTATTAGCCTCCGAAACCGTCATCGTGTAATGAGCACTCGTTAACTGTAATCGAAGCGGAATGTCTTTGATTGTAACGCGAACGGCATTCTATAGCCTCGCGCCAATTCGAAGGACAAACGAACCTTTACGTCGGTTCTCTGATTTAATGAGTCTTTTTTCTTTGACGCGTCCGCTACCGCCGCTTATTTCGCTTTGGTCTCCTCAACTGTATTTCCTTCAATCCAATAAATCTAAAATATTAGAAAAATGAAACAGAAACAAGTCATTACGTTATATTTAGGAACTCAATGACTTGTTTCTGTTTCATTTTATAAACTACGTTATATTTAGGAACTCAGTTTATACTTTCTAATAACAATATCCATAGAATTAATTTTATTTCAATTATGTAGAACACAAATGTACGACGCTGGTAGCGAACGTAACACGTTGACTGCCACGAGAATTTCTAGCGTTTTGAATAATAATACTTTCTCTTTAATAACAAAGGCAAATCATACTAAAAATAATTAGTAATGGTTTAGTATCACATAGTCGTATTACGCTACAATATAGCTACTTATGTTACTAAATATTTCTATTGAAAATCAAGTTTCTCATTGTAATTGTTCTCCAGCAATTTGGAAGCTCCAGCAATCAACGTGTTAATCACCAACTTCACTGCAACCTGTCACAAAATCAGAATACAATACTCAGATTGAAAGAATCTATATTTGATTCGTAGCAACACTTTAGCGACAGTGACACCCTACCCTCGGAAGATAGGGGATCGAGTCCTCGAAACAAAACAGCTCGATATGTAAAACACGTTCCATAGCACTTGCTAGGGTGTCGCAGGTTAGTGGAATATATATGCTCTCGGAATATTCAAATCGTCTCGGTAAAATATTCAGCATTCATTAAATGCAAGACGAATGCTGCTAATAAAGCGCATCTGAGTCAGCATAGATAGAAGCAGCTACGATCGCCGGACTACACTGTTGCAATTTCGGGCAGCCCGCCCGAAAAAGAGCACACAGTTTCGTAGATCGGTCTCGGCCCAAGGACTCGGATCCGGCTGGTCGTATCTCGGTTCTAGAGCGATGGGGGTAAATTCGACCGTTACAGAAAGCGAGCTGAAAAACACCGTGCAGCCGTGGATCATGCGGGCACGCGTCTGTCTGCGTACGTGTACGTGCAACGCTGGCTCGGTGGTGCCCGGACCATGGACAGGTGAACATCGTGACCACGATGGTCAGCCGGCGTAACGATTATTGCCGAGGTTTCTGATTGTTTTAAGAGATTTTTACTGGACGGCTCCAACCCTCTGAGTATCACCATCATCATTACACCTTCAATGTAGCATAATTCCCAAAATCGAAGAGAATACCTTGCTCGTACAATGTAAGCGTCGTTAAACATCGCCGCGCGACGTGCTCCAATATATTCCAAACCAATTGGAAGAAAAAATATATCGTTTCCTGATCGCGCCGAGCGGAGAGGAAGACGCATGGGCTTCAATTAAAACTACAGAATTAAGTGTCTATAAAAATTCATGGCCTCGTAACATCGACACGCAACACACTTTAAATCGGCATTAATGAACGTGGGCAGTCTTCGTTTCGCATCGATTGAACGGAGATTTATGAATATTAAACCTTCGAGTGTACTTACACCTTTCTTTCCTATTAAAAAATTAGTAATAAATCAATACTCCCGAATCTAACCATGGACTCACAGGACAAAAATTCAATTATACTCCTATATTTATAATTATACTTTTATAATTCAATTCATCTCAACTTTCACTGAATATTACGGTACAAAAGATCTCAATAAATCCAATTCCACGCGTTTCGTTGAGACGTCGTGCACTCGTCTTCTCATTTACCTGCGCACACGTCTGGCGCGTTAGATGGACGAACGCATGCGTGGAACCGCATTCGGCGGACATCACAGGGAGCCGCTTTTCAGATTTCGATTCACCCTCGCCGGCAAGGGCGACCGTTGGGTCCTCGAGGGAATATATCGACTTCCTCCTCGCTCCCCGTTTCAAACGCGGCAACATCGATACATCCCGTGGGGGATTTTCGGTTCGAAGTCTCCGCGCTCCCCAACGAGTTCGTTGTTTCCGGTCCCGAGCACCCAGACCGGAACACCCGCGCGGGGAACGCTCGGTGACGTCAGCGCACATCGTCGAAAATTAGAGAGAAACCGATCCGCAGGGGTTCGGTGTCAGGATGTAGTTAATACCCGCGACTTTAACTCGACCCGAAGACGATTACCGGGCTCCGATCGTTTTCCACGGTTCTGCGCACCGTAATAGATAACGCGCCCGATCTGGCCGTTCGGTTAACGGACGAATTTTATGAGCCGTTTAGTCGTTTTCGCGAGATTTCGACCGTTTCTGGTATATTGAAATCAAGGTTCGATGGGCACGCGGGAATAGCCTAAGAGAGATTCACGCAGAAACATGTTATTGATATTGATTACTGTTCAACCTTTTGACCTATGATTTCTTTCTCAACTATTTCTCAATTCTTTCTGAACTATTTTGTCATTAACCGTTTGAGTGCCAAAATTGCGGAGAGCGCGGAGGCGCTTCTGTTTGTCAGTATAATAAATTTCTTACTATGTTTTTCAAGAAATAAATGAAAGTAAATTTGCTTGAATAAATGTTATTTTTTGATATCTTTTTGTAATAACACAATATTTGTGATCTCATCAGATAAGTACTCTTATTAATTTTTTTGCATGCACACCCAATCACTTCCGCATTTTTGGTAAATGTTTGGTTAATAGTTTGTTGGAAAAAGAGGAAAATTCTAAGCGTATGCTATGCCTATATTTCTGTTAAGTATAGTCGATTACAGAGGAATAATATTTACTTTGAATTCGAATGAACCGAGTAATATATATATTTGTTGAATCACGTTGAAAATCTTCACGAGTCTCACTCGTAGGACAAGGGGTTAATCAAAGTGAAACTGAGAGAAGGAAGTATTCATGTAGTAGAAATGGAATTACATATTTGAGATAGGGAATACATGAGTAGCGAAAGGAATCCTGGGAAGTTAATGGAACAGACGATATTCTCTCCTTGTTAAATCAAATGGTTTGAACGCT